AACCACAATCTAACGACCAATTGCTTATTTAACAGTGAGGCAAGAACCGGGAGGGGTGGAGGGGTGGGGTATCTATCTCTGCCATCAGGCTGATGTCAGAGTATATCCTGTTTTGGAAAGCAAATATTTGCAAACATCAACTGTTAAAATCATACAACTCAACAGATAAAAACCGGACAATCTGAACACATCTCAGCAGAAAGCAGTGTCTTTCAAAAGACACCTTAGAACTAGTGTCAGTTTTCTGGACACCCTACAGCTGGTGTTTTTTCCCCTGACACCATACAATATTAGGCTTTTATAATACACAATCTGTTATATAATACATCTGTGGATACATCAGGTACTTACAAGCATTTACACACATCCTGTTGCTTGTAAGCACAACATTCATTCTGTTCAAGCATTTACACACATCCTGTCCCTTGTACGCACATACTTACAAGCATTTACACACATCCTGTCCCTTGTACTCACATACATTCATTCCCTTCAAGCATTTACACAATCCTGTCGCTTGTGCGCACATACTTACAAACATTTACACACATACTGTCCCTTGTACACACATACATACATATATCTAGGGCTTGTTTCTGGAGGAAAAAAAAGATGTCAGTACTGACCCTAAAGTGTCTTATAAAAGGTACTGGTACTCACAGTGTGTCTATTACAGTAGTGCTGATTTATATTAACTTTTTTTTTTTTTTTAAAGCCATATTGACTGAAAATGTTCCTGTTAGCCTCAATAATGGAGGTCACAACATGACATATTTGTGCTTAGCCCGGGGGGAATGTACTCCATGTAATGCTTTGCTCTGTTATTGTTTGTTGATTACTTCCTTTTTATATTTTTATAATTTTTGAATGAAAAAAAAAATGGAAAAAATGTCGACAAATGATTTTTAAAAAATAATTTATAAGTTACCTTGTTTTTAGCATTCTTGAGGCATGGCTAGTGTAGTCACCCGGGACCCTGCAGTCTAAGATGTTTGTAAACCCCCAAAAGAAAAAAACCATTCAAACCTGGACCATACATACAAGAGCCTAGCATTCTATCTACAGGACCGGCCACTCCAATGCACATATACGATTATCATACACAAACACAAGCACATCTATAAGTGGACTTGATACAGTCAGTTGTACTAGCAATAAGGACCATCTGACCTGGTTACAACCAGGAGACAGGTCTGCAAAACAGAATTGGGAGATTCAAACACAAAAATGTCCATGACAGACAGCTAGAAAGCTAACATGAAACCATATAAGAACATGTTAGAAAACGTTTATAGAGAGAATCAATCTGTGGAAACACTCAGACACTGGAATGTTGATACCGCTCCCTACAACACAAATCAGTCAACAATCAGCAGGTGTTTGACCTCGTAGAAATGAACCAATACTTGAGATCACATGACACAATTAATTGCCTGGCATATTTCACTCTTTATTAGTGTGTTTCCGTTGTGAAGGCTTCATTTGTTCACTTCATTTTATTTAACTGTTACTGCAGAATGCATTTATGAGATACAGCAAAATATCGGCATCATCATCATTGTCCTGTGGTGCTATTATATGTCACATAGGGCTCATAGTCTATTCCTTCATTCCGTTCTATTCTGCTCAATCACTCTGATATCATGGGTAGAATCCAGCTCAGCACTCTCTGCCTCTTCCATCAAAGTTGATTTTAAGATTTCTCTCGGATCTCCTTGCTTCCTCAATCCAATTACGTAGGAAACTCTTCTTACTTTGTCCACACCGACTTCTGTCCTCGTGTATTTGAGTGTTATACTCTTGTGGTAATGCTATGAAAGTTTAATCCTAATTCTGACATTTTTCTTCCTTCTGTTGCAGATAGATCATGGCTGCCCCATTAGAAGTTTGCACCAGAGAGGAACAATGAGCAGTGATATGTTTCCTCTGATTTGAGGGTGTCAAAAGTTCAGAAATTCATCACAGGCTATTGTTGCAATATGGGGGAAGTGCCACGTACAACTGTGTTGTTTGTGTGGACTGAGAAGTTTAAAAGTGGTCAAACAAGAGTGACGCATGAAGAGAGAGCAGGATGACAACATTCAGCAGGTTTGAGAGATGTTTCTGGCTTCGATGGGGTAAACATTCAGCAGGTTTGAGAGATGTTTCTGGCTTCGATGAGGTAGCAGCTGCGTTAAACATTAGTCATGGTTATGCCCAAAAAATTATCCCTGATGAGCTCGGCTTTGATCAAGTCCGTGATCAGTGGGTACCAAGAAAGCTCACTGAAGAACACAAGCTCCTTTGTGCAAAATGTGGTTCTGAGATGACTTTATGACCAACTGAAAAAGCTTGTTGACCGTTGGGACAAGTGCAATAATCAGAAGGGAGATTACCTAGAAAAACTGATGTGCATAGAGTAACCCTAGCTTGATTGAAATAATTTGTGTACTCTCCCTCGTATTTCCTTTTTAGTGTCAGCTTGGTGATTCTCTGCTCGTTTCTTCTCAGGATGTGTCTAATCTAGCGCCATCTGCTTTATCTTATTACTTGTTACCAGCGGCCGCCCAGACATTTCTCTCATCTCATTACCCCTCTTGAATTCATCCCACTGTATGCTCAAAATTTCTTTAGGAATTTGTTTTAAGGAATTTGTTTTCAAACGCATTTAGCCTTTGGTCCACGCCTCTAGTGCTTCAACTTTCACTAGTACATGTTACAACTGAAATAACATTAGAACTGAACATACATCACTTTGTTTTCAAATTAAACAGAGTTCCATATTTTATACATCAAAATATTCCAGGCAAGAAACTGTGCAATCTATTCTTTCTTCTTCATTCAACATGCATGATTACATCCAACCCAATATTCACAAATGCGTCACATGACATCAACAAAACAATGCCAAAGATACAGATCCACAGTATGTTCAAAAGTTCACAGCAATAACAAGGGGATGAACTGTTAGCACAGTGTCCTTCCTTGTCAAGATCATCACACACACACCTCAGACCAAATCCGCGGATCAAATATGTGGGCCTGACAATTCTGTGGCAGTTTACTAAAGGTGTCTTTTTAACATATTCAATGACGATGATAAAATCACTAAAAGTGTCATTTGAACATGTCAGATAAGATGTGTGTAGGACAAATCTGAGCGAGTTCACTAGAAGTGTCATTAGAACATGTCAGATAAGATGTGTGTAGGACAAATCTGAGCGAGTTCACTAAAAGTGTCATTTGAACATGTCAGATAAGATGTGTGTAGGACAAATCTGAGCGAGTTCACTAAAAGTGTCATTTGAACATGTCAGATAAGATGTGTGTAGGACAAATCTGAGCGAGTTCACTAGAAGTGTCATTAGAACATGTCAGATAAGATGTGTGTAGGACAAATCTGAGCGAGTTCACTAAAAGTGTCATTTGAACATGTTAGATAAGATGTGTGTAGGACAAATCTGAGCGAGTTCACTAAAAGTGTCTTCTGAACATGCAGGACAAAAATAAGCCAGACAAAGTCTTGTGTGCCAGCTAAAAGTGTCATTAGAAAAGCCAAGATATGATACAAGTTTTATGTGTGAGTTTATTAAAAGTGTCTTTTGAATAAGCATGATAAAATAGTTAGACAAATCTATGTGCACACTTGATAAAAGTGTCATTTGAATATTTGTGATAAAATATGTGGGGCAATGTGTGGGTTACTAAAGGTGTCTTTTAAAGACGTATAATAAAACTGGAGGCCTGACATATTTATGTTAACAATGATGATAAATTAGCTGAAAAGTCTACAAGCTATCTAAAAGTGTCATTTTTAACAAATAAAACAAGGCATGATCACAACAAATGTGAGATAAACAAATAGATTAAACACAGACACCACTGGCTGGAACAACAATATATTCAACAGGGAACAGGCAAACATATTTCACGTGACTTTCTGCGGCCACATAATTAACGCTACACTACAGGCTGTCTCATAATTTTCTATACATAGGAAAATTACATTAAAAAAAACCTTTTATTTATATAATATGAGCTATACGACTACTACAGTTTTGAAAACACATTTGGATGCGTGCCCTCCTCTAATGAAGAACACGTATAAGCACAACAGTCTGCATACACATAAGCTATATATGTCATATGTGCATTCATTACTCAGGTTTTGGAACAAGACCAAAATCCAGAAGTGGCTGAAAAATGTGAACTTTCTGTCAGAGCGAACAGCTGATGAAAGGAAGAAGATTGAAATAAACAATCATGTGGCCACTAAATTATTCCATGTTCCTCTTTTTCAAAGCTATCCCATAATCCCTTTCTCAAAGTCACCTTATATTGATAGGACTTGTACGAGGCTCCAAACCCACATATTGATAAGATTTTGTACGAGTCACCAAACTCACATTCTAAAACCATATATTGATAGAACTTGTACGAGGCTTCAAACCCACATTCTAAAACCACATATTGAAAGAACCTGTACAAGACTTCAAACCCACATTCTTAACCTACATGCTGATAGATCTTGTACGAGACTTCAAACCCACATTTTAATACCCATGTGTGGGTTCAAACCCACTGCCCCCAACAAACATGGTAAAACTAATTTGCAGTTTTCTGAAATGTTGGCTCAAAGGTAGATATGGCAGCCCAGCTAGATGTGCTAACTGCCGTTTGAAGGCAGAATGCAGAAGAAGAGATAATGACAGACAGGGTCAAGGTTAGTCACAGGCATTGGTTGGGTCAAGGTTGGTCACAGGCTGTGTCAAGGTCAGTCACAGGCTGGATGGTTGGGTCAAGGTCAGTCACAGGCTGGATGGTTGGGTCAAGGTTAGTCACAGGCTGGATGGTTGGGTCAAGGTTAGTCACAGGCTGGATGGTTGGGTCAAGGTTAGTCACAGGCTGGATGGTTGGGTCAAGGTCAGTCACAGGCTGGATGGTTGGATCAAGGTCAGTCACAGGCTGGATGGTTGGGTCAAGGTTAGTCACAGGCTGGGTCAAGGTTAGTCACAGGCTGGATGGTTGGGTCAAGGTTAGTCACAGGCTGGGTCAAGGTCAGTCACAGGCTGGATGGTTGGGTCAAGGTTAGTCACAGGCTGGATGGCTGGGTCAAGGTTAGTCACAGGCTGGATGGTTGGGTCAAGGTTAGTCACAGGCTAGATGGTTGGGTCAAGGTAAGTCACAGGCTGGATGGTTGGGTCAAGGTAAGTCACAGGCTGGATGGTTGGGTCAAGGTTAGCCACAGGCTAGTTGGTTGGGTCAAGGTAAGTCACAGACTTGATGGTTGGGTCAAGGTCAGTTACAGGCTGGATGGTTGGGTCAAGGTCAGTTACAGGCTGGATGGTTGGGTCAAGGTCAGTCACAGGCTGGATGGTTGAGGGCGACAGGGTTCAGATAAACATGCTCACATAAAATTACTGACATTCAAATAAAGCAACCAAGTACATGTGATGTGTTGTATGAGGCAGACATAGTTAAAACACATGTATTTCTGACTGCTGCAGGCAGGTTTAAAAAACAGCTAATGACTGTGGGTTATCTTGATTCCTTTTCTACACTTGGGTGAGGATTAAGGTCACTTTTGGCTAAATATAACACACATGCAAGCAATATACAGGTTCACTGCCTAATTAATTAAGGCCAACAGAGAAGAAAAAGAAATGGGGGGAAAAAAGGGGGGGGGGGGGGTGGACATAGTAATCATTCAAACCCGTATAACAGTATAACAATGACATTTGAAACTGAGTAAACGAACAGGCCATCCCACTCTTAATACTGCTGATCCAGTATATGTGAATTCAGTATTAAATTATCAAATTCTAACAGGAAAACACTGTTTTGGACAAGTCAGTATTTATACCCCAGCCTTTCATTCAAACATACAGCCAGGAGCCAATCTACACAAGGTAATTATTTACAAAAACACTCTGTACATTGAGTTTCATCACCAGTACACTGCTAAAGTGACAACTCTGGAATTCTTTGATGAATTATTCAAAAGACATTAAAATGTACAATTTTTTGTGTATATCTATGAACCTCTTTTAACAGTGAAAACACGGAAAATGCCACGGTAAGAAGATGTAACAAGATCTACTAGTCTATCACAAACATACAACAGAGCTGTGTGGAGATCTACCAGTCTATCACAAACAGTACAACAGAGCTGTGTGCAGATCAACCAGTCTATCACAAACATACAACAGAGCTGTGTGAAGATCTACCAGTCTATCACAAATGGAACAACAGAGCTGTGTGGAGATCTACCAGTCTATCACAAACAGTACAACAGAGCTGTGTGCAGATCAACCAGTCTATCACAAACAGTACAACAGAGCTGTGTGAAGATCTACCAGTCTATCACAAATGGAACAACAGAGCTGTGTGGAGATCTACCAGTCTATCACAAACAGTACAACAGAGCTGTGTGGAGATCTACTAGTCTATCACAAACATACAACAGAGCTGTGTGAAGATCTACCAGTCTATCACAAACAGTACAACAGAGCTGTGTGAAGATCTACTAGTCTATCACGAACATACAACAAAGCTGTGTGGAGATCTACCAGTCTATCACAAACAGTACAACAGAGCTGTGTGGAGATCTACTAGTCTATCACAAACATACAACAGAGCTGTGTGGAGATCTACCAGTCTATCACAAACATACAACAGGGCTGTGTGGAATTCTACCAGTCTATCACAAACAGTACAACAGAGCTGTGTGAAGATCTACCAGTCTATCACAAACAGTACAAGAGCTGTGTGGAGATCTACCAGTCTATCACAAACAGTACAACAGAGATGTGTGGAGATCTACCGTTCTATCACAAACAGTACAAGAGCTGTGTGGAGATCTACCAGTCTATCACAAACATACAACAGAGCTGTGTGGAGATCTACCAGTCTATCACAAACAGTACAACAGAGCTGTGTGGAGATCTACCAGTCTATCACAAACATACAACAGGGCTGTGTGGAGATCTACCAGTCTATCACAAACAGTACAACAGAGCTGTGTGAAGATCTACCAGTCTATCACAAACAGAGCTGTGTGGAATTCTACCAGTCTATCACAAACAGTACAACAGAGCTGTGTGAAGATCTACCAGTCTATCACAAACAGTACAAGAGCTGTGTGGAGATCTACCAGTCTATCACAAACAGTACAACAGAGCTGTGTGAAGATCTACCAGTCTATCACAAACAGTACAAGAGCTGTGTGGAGATCTACCAGTCTATCACAAACAGTACAACAGAGATGTGTGGAGATCTACCGTTCTATCACAAACAGTACAAGAGCTGTGTGGAGATCTACCAGTCTATCACAAACAGTACAACAGAGATGTGTGGAGATCTACCAGTCTATCACAAACAGTACAACAGAGCTGTGTGGAGATCTACCAGTCTATCACAAACAGTACAACAGAGATGTGTGGAGATCTACCAGTCTATCACAAACAGTACAACAGAGCTGTGTGGAGATCTACCAGTCTATCACAAACAGTACAACAGAGATGTGTTGAGATCTACCAGTCTATCACAAACAGAGCTGTGTGTGTGGAGATCTACCAGTCTATCACAAACAGTACAACAGAGCTCAAATATTAAGTCTATGATATCTGACCAAGAGATGTGGAGTGAACAGCCACCTGCATCTGGTGACCCAACCACAGCTGGTGCTATGTACTGATAACGAGACCCTGTGATCTTTCATTCAAACTACCTGTTCGCACACAGACATCCCTTAGCACTCTCTACAGGTCCAGAATGTAGAGGCAGATAAGAAAGTAGTCAAATAATCACAGAGAACCTTACTATAAAGACACAGAACCTCATCATCAGTTTCAGTGTTTGTTGTGAAGCACTGTCTGTGTACAGCACACATCTGTCTGTGTACAGCACACATTTGTCTGTGTACAGCACACATCTATTTACAGCAGCCTGGTGATGTTTGCATGTCCAGTACACAATCACTTATTTATACATTTCTCAAATAATTCATACATACAGAATACAGATGGTAACAGTAGGCAAATATAGAATATGCCTTGAATGCACTGGTTAGCCTCCAAGTACCACATAGTGGATAGACTGAGAGAAGACAAGGACTACAATAAACCTCGTAGCGAGAGCTACAAACCTCAAAGCTAGAGTAATAAACCTCACTGCAGAACAACAAACCTCACAGACACTAATCCCAGACTTTCACAACAAAAAGTGTGTAGACTACATCCTGATCCAAAATAAAAAAATGTATGCTAGATCGATGTTACCCACACAGGACTAACTACTGTAGCTGTTACAGGTGTTCTAATTAAAACATCTGGGAAGGCTGAACAGGGTATCTATGATCTGCCTTGTTGATTTTTAAAATCTCAAGACAGTGTGGTAAACTTGTAGGTAACAGCCTGGAGGGCACATACCGATCAATTGACGAAATTATGCCAGAAATAATGAGGCTATATTATGGAATAACAAAAACAAAAAAAAAAAACAACCTTGGAAATGGGAGTGATGACTGTCTAGGACAAAAGAAGGGGAAAAAAAAAATTTCAGTAAAGCAACAACTGTCTGAGAGTTGTTCCCCCTCCCAAAGACATGAAGTCCTCAGATCTGATGATTTCCTGGTTCCACCTGTTCAGACAAGAACCAAAGTTATATACAATCTGATGGGTTTTCTGTATCTTCTTGTTCTATTTGTTCTCCATGCCAGGGTTGTCAGGTGAGAAGGTCACAGGCCTCTATGATATTTGTGTGCAACGTATGTCTTCCTCCGATTCATGCAGTTTCAACTCAACTGGCATGCCAACTGGCCAGACCTGAGATCTCTCTACTGCAAGTACAGGGCAAGTCTGAAACGCATGTGCATTACGGCGAGAAACTGCATAGTGCTGTGGCATCAGCTTTGGCAACTTTCTGGTTTATCTGCACCTTGTGGCCTGACACCTCCGACTTAAGCGAGCCTTTCTGTTAGGATGAGTTTCCTCAGATGCATTAGAAAATGCAGAATGTAAGACCTGCCTGCCAAATAAATACTAGGGTACTTCCTCATTACCACCACTATCATGTCATCTCTATCTTCTTCAGGTGAATTACGAGGGGGATTCAAACCTTAACAATTTCATCAAGGTTATTCGAGATTACAATAACCAGTCTGCCGCACCTTTGGACACTTCCTTCTCCACTCATACACTTGTTCGGCTGACAGGAACTTTATATGCAAGCAAATTTCTATAGCCCCTTCCCTAATTTAACAATGGATAACAGAATGCTGCTTCTCTTTGACACAAGTCAAAAGTGAGATGACCATCTTTAAACTGTCATTTTGATGTCACATGCTTAGCACTCTTGACATCCTCAACAATACACTGACAGGTTACAAGGCAATAGTATGGTTACAGTAATTTCTATCACACTTTTAAAGTTTTCAATTGAAGCCCCAGGATATGTGAGCATTTCCAAGTGCACTGTCATTCTCCATAACGATAGTCTACTATCATTTATCATCATCTACCATCATCACTGGTAATTAATTCAACGAAAGAGTTAAAACAGCAACTGGATGAGATAAGATGAGTTAGTTTATTAACCCATGGCTGTCTGGTCATCTCTGAGAGTGACAGATGAACTGATGAACTAACAAATCTACAGAAATGAACACCAGGACAATCCAAACCACACAAATAATGAAAACAATATTGCTCTGTCCAGGGAGAATCACAGGTTGCTATCAGAATGCTCCGTTCTTGGAGTTCAGACAAAGGTCGGCTATACTTTTGAGCAGTCAATCTCCACAATGTTCTTGGGCACATCAGCAAACTGGTAGACCAGTCGCTGGCCGTCAACTTTGTTGAGAATTCCTCGTGCATAATAGTACCTGGTGACAAAGAAAGGTTATATGTAATCAACTGGTGTAAAGCTAACACAAGACATGAATAACAGGATTACAAAACCATCTCAATTATTGTTAACAGGATTGCAAAACCTTCTCAGTTATTGTTAACAGGATTAAAGAATCATCTCAGTTATTGTTAACAGGATTACAAAACCCTCTCAGTTATTGTTGACAGGATTACAGAGCCATCTCAGTTATTGTTGACAGGATTACAAAGCCATTTCAGTTACTGTTAACAGGATTACAGAATCATCTCAGTTATTGTTTACAGGATTACAGCTATGTGTAACAATGCAAGTTGGCAAAATAAGGGTGATCTGTGATTAAGTTAACATGGAACATTAATTTATCAAAGACAACTGAGTTATTGTTAACAATATCTGGGAACAAAGAGATGCTCAACTGTGACTGACTTGTGTAATGTTAACAGGGAATATTAATTCAGCATGGACAAACATGATATAGTTAACAGGACTACAGTGTACCTTCTGGGCAAAGATAACATCAGATTTTCTTGCAAAAGACATCACTGAAGTCATTAAATCTTGTATCATGGGATTTACCTTGCAAGCAGAGTGAGCAAATGAAGTTCATGTTGTAGAAGACAGAAGTGAAGTGTTAGCAGAATCCACAAAGAAAAAATATAAGATGACAGTATAAATGAACAATTGTCAGTACAGGGTGACTTTCACAAATCTGTCAACCTCCGAACACTAAGAGTCCCAGATTGTGAAAATGCTAGATTTTCTTTAATGGTAATATATGCTGGTTGCATTTAACAGACAATGACTACCTGTAGTCCTTCAAAGAAACAAAATTAAACAGTACTACATGTGAAGCAAATGAAATTTAAATGTTCACCAAATAAAGAAAACAGTTTTATGGAATTTCAAGTTCAATGAATAAAACAGTTCTGAATTTTAATTTAAAAAACAAAAAAGACCCTCATAATTTTCAATTGAAAATTTCTCCAAAAACAAGTCTGGAAATCCCAAAGAACCAGGTTATCGATAGCCAGATGTTCTAGGGGCAACCTATATAAATGGTGGAGTAGTTACCTTAAAGCTCGGCCCATGGTCTCGTAGTTCATGTCAGGCTTGTTCTTGTGCTGTCCCCATAACCTGGACACAGCCTTGGAGTCGACCAACTTGAAGATGCCTTTCTCCCTGTTGGTCCACTTGATGTAGTGGGGACAGGTCTCCTGGCTCTGCAGCAGCTGCAGCAGGAACTCCCACAGGTACTGGGCACTACCTGCAATCAGCAGAAACATAACTTACTGATCACATTCAGCAATCATGTCACAGCACCAAGGAAAGTCAGATATTGTCTCTGAGGCTTTAAAAAAAAAGAAAGAAAGAAAGTCATATCTTTTACCTAACTGAAAGCAAGTAGGAATGTCAGATCTGGTACTTTACTGATGATAACAAGGAAAGTCAGATCTTTTACTTAATTGACAGCAAGAAGGAAGTCGGATCTCTTTCTTAACAGATTCTCGCACCTAACTGATGGTAAGAAGCAAAGTCAGACCTTTTACTTAAATGACATTTAGAAGGAAAGTGAGAACTTGTACCTAACTGGTAAAAAGGAAAGTAAATCTTATATCGGCTATCTTCCGAATAACGGACCCAAATTATCAAGGCAGAAGATATACCCTAACAGGGCCTCAGTCACAATGTCAGTTGCGCACTTCCAGCATCTTAAATTGCGCACGCGGCGTGGATTGGTGCTAAACTAGATGGCTGGAACTCACGAGCAGCAGCTACCACATCTCCTGCAGCTTCCTTCATTTTATTTGCTCGCGAGTCCTAGCCATCTAGTTTAGCCCCAATCCACGCTGCGTAAGTGGCGTGGAGGATACTCTCGGCGGTGGCGGTATAGTCCCCAGAAGTTCGCAATTTGGCGGAGGCGGTGTAGTCCCCGTAAGTGCGCAATTGACATGTGACTGAGGCCCTGTTAGGGTATATTTTCTGCCTCGATAATTTGTGACCGTTATTTTGAAGATAGCCCTTATATCTAACTGACAGCAAGAAGGAAAGTAAAGTCTAACAAACAAGAAGGAATGTAAGATCTTGTGCTTAACTGACAACAAAAAAGAAAGATCTGTAACCACATACAACATACTGACCACACTTGACAATCATATGATCTTACAGACATGAACTCAGATCTTGTACCGAACAATAAGACTGACTTTATCTGTTATTGTGCTATCACTATGTACACTTTAACAATCCTTTTATGACTATTTCTGTTCCTTTGAAATCAGAAAAAAAAAAAAAAAACAACAGCTAAAGAAGAAGAGGGAATAGTAATAATAACGAACAAACAAACAATTTTCAAAGAGATAAGAACTGTTCACCAGGACAGTCTAACATTCTGCCCTTCCAGTCCCCCTCCATTCATAAGAAGAAGAAGAAGAAGGCCAAGACTATGTTCTTTATTCTGCATGGTTTGGTGTGGAAATACTTATTCTACAGAAGAGGCAAAACTGACACGTTTGAATATTCACCTGCTTGTATACCGCATTGTAACAACTTTCAATGTAGTTTTTCAAGCCCACTAACGCACAACATACTGTTGTACCGCATTAAAACAACTTTCAATGTAGTTTTTCAAGATCACTAACGCATAACACACTGTTGTACCGCATTAAAACAACTTTAGTTTTTAAAGCCGACTAACGCACAACACATTGTTGTACTGCATTAAAACAACTTTCAATGTAGGTTTTCAAGCCCACTATTGCACAACACATTGTTGTACCGCATTAAAACAACTTTCAATGTAGGTTTTCAAGCCCACTAATGCACAACACACTGTCAAAACAGGGAGTACATAGCAAGTTTCAACATGTCCTGGAATCCAGAAGCAGCGGAAAAAAGGTAAGAAGCAGACAATAACTTTTTGAGTTAAGATACAACAACATACCTTCTCGTTTTCTCTTTGGTGGAGAGGTATACGGATAATCAGGATATTTTGGCTTCCGACCTGTGAGCGACATTGAAGATAATAAACGAATGAATTTCTTGGAACTATTGTACTGATGCTCAACGCTAATTGGTGCATTTAATTTTCAATAATTTCTGTTTTGTGCTTCACTATTACAGAAATAGAGTCATAATGTGTGTGCATGTGTGCGGGCTAAATTAACTTCACGTTCAGCTGGCCATTTTTCCACACTTTTTAAGCCACCTAGGGCGTTTATAAAATCAAATGAAATTTTTCAAAGACATTTTTTTGGGTGTGTGCGTGCATGTGCATACACTCACACACATGGATAATGCATTATTATTAAGGGGTGATAACTTATGTCTTATTTATAAAACATATACGTAATACACTGTCCCCGTGTGGGTCTCAGGGCCCCATGTTTAACCCTGTCACTCCAGGGCATGCTAACAAAAATGTTATGTTCAAAACTGACCAACATTTAACATTGTTCCACAAAATTTATATAAAGATATATAAAGGGGAGTAACCACTAAAGAATTAACCAGAAATTAAAATTAATTCCCCTGAGTCTAAAAATAATAGATGTTTTCGGTGATCTATGTGTGATCCTGTGAACTGAGGCTTTGGAATTAGTGGCGCGAGCTTGGCTTTTAAAAGCGATTTGGCACACAAGGAAATCCCCTCAGGCTATTTTTGGTAAGTACATTGGCGCAAAGATAGCCAATAACGTTGTGAACTATACTTTTTCAAAAACACATCACTCTAAGCCTTGGAAAAGTGACATTTACAGGGAATACGACCCAGCCTAGCTGTAAACCACAACACATTCTTCAAACCACCCTTTTACAGGATAATGCTTAAGTGAACAGTACCGAGGCACAAATAGATCATTATGGTCTGAGTGGTCTGAGGAGAATGTCGTTGTGAGAGTTACCAGGGGAACAGGCCGATGTTCAACACTCAGGGGAAAGGCGAGACGGATGTACAATCAGACAGTTGCTGATGGCATCAGAATAGAAACCCATTGCTTGCTGCTGAAGATGGAAGGGGAGCACTTAAAGAAGTGTCCCGGGTGCTATGATGTCAATTTGTAATTTAACAGTCAAGGCGATGCACAAGGCGACAAATGTAGTGCATATTCAGGTGATTTATCTTTTATAAGTATATAACTTATGTAATATTTACTAAAATTTGTTTTGCTCATTAGAGTGTACATGGTAAAAAGCAGACTGATAGATTAGTTGGGTGGTAAGCTACTCTATGATAAAGCAAATGGAGAGAAGGCTTTTTGGGGGGACCAATCAGACAGTGCAATTATATCTGGAGAGAATGATTCAGCTGGGGGTGAGTACAGGGCCTGGAGGACTTTCTGTCTGCAGGGGGTGAGTACAGGGTCTGGAGGACTTTCTGCCTGCAGGGGGTGAGTACAGGGTCTGGAGGACTTTCTGCCTGCAGGGGGTCAGCACAGGGTCTGGAGGACTTTCTGCCTGCAGGGGGTGAGCACAGGGTCCTAGACTTTCTGCCTGCAGGGGGTGAGTACAGGGTCTGGAGGACTTTCTGCCTGCAGGGGGTGAGTACAGGGTCTGGAGGACTTTCTGCCTGCAGGGGGTGAGCACAGGGTCTGGAGGACTTTCTGCCTGCAGGGGGTGAGCACAGGGTCCTAGACTTTCTGCCTGCAGGGGGTGAGTACAGGGTCTGGAGGACTTTCTGTCTGCAGGGGGTGAGCACAGGGCCTGGAGGACTTTCTGCCTGCAAGGGGTGAGCATAGGGTCTGGAGGACTTTCTGCCTGCAGGGGGTCAGTACAGGGTCTGGAGGACTTTCTGCCTGCAGGGGGTGAGTACAGGGTCTGGAGGACTTTCTGCCTGCAGGGGGTGAGCACAGGGTCTGGAGGACTTTCTGCCTGCAGGGGGTGAGCATAGGGTCTGGAGGACTTTCTGCCTGCAGGGGGTGAGCACAGGGTCTGGAGGACTTTCTGCCTGCAGGGGTGAGCACAGGGTCTGGAGGACTTTCTGCCAGTAGGGGGTGAGCACAGGGTCTGGAGGACTTTCTGTCTGCAGGGGGTGAGTACAGGGTCTGGAGGACTTTCTGTCTGCAGGGGGTGAGTACAGGGTCTGGAGGACTTTCTGCCTGTAGGGGGTGAGTACAGGGTCTGGAGGACTTTCTGCCTGCAGGGGGTGAGTACAGGGTCTGGAGGACTTTCTGCCTGTAGGGGGTGAGTACAGGGTCTGGACAACTTTCTGTCTGCAGGGGGTGAGTACAGGGTCTGGAGGACTTTCTGGGTGAGTACAGGGTCTGGAGGACTTTCTGCCTGTAGGGGGTGAGCACAGGGTCTGGAGGACTTTCTGCCTGCAATGGGTGAGCACAGGGCCCTAGACTTTCTGCCTGCAGGGAAAACACAGAACAGATGAACCTGTAATCAAGTTGCAACTAACACCATCAGTATAGGAACTCTTTGCTGGCAACTGAGCAAGGAGACGGAGCAGGTATGGAAATGTCCCAAGTGTAGTGATGTAAATTCCTCATTCATTCACTAGCACTCATTCATTAGTCAAACTGTACCTTTCTTGGCCCTTGGTTTATCCCCACTTGCAGCAGTTGGCGGTTGACTGAAGGCTGGTGAGGATGATGATGATGATTTTGGAGAACTGCTACTGCTGCGGTGGTTACATTTGGCACTGGATGATGAATCTTTGTTGGAATGAGCTGCTGCCTGGTTGGCTAATGTGGTGCTGAAGTCGTAGTGATCTACACAACAAAATTAAAGAGGAATTGTTCAATTTTTATTGCAAAATGATCTACAGAACAAAAACAGACAGGAAGTAAAAATACTGGTTTTGTGATAATGATCTATAGAACAATAATACAGAGGAATCACTAATATTCCCAAATGTAATAATGATCTAAAAAAAAAAAAGGATGCTTTGGTATTAATTGTTTTATGGCAATCTATGAAACAACTAACACTCAAAGATGTGCCTAAAGGGCAGAGAAATTGAGGCAGTTGTCACTGATCTCATAAAAAGGGCACATACATGGAGGCAGTTGTCACTGATCTCATAAAAAGGGCACATACATGGAGGCACATGTTTATGATTAAAAAAAAAAAGACCCAGACATGGAGTCATTTGTACATGATCTGATAAAAAGGGCAGAGAAGTGGAGTTAAAGGTAAACGATCTGATAAAAAGGGCAGAGAAGTGGAGTTAAAGGTAAACGATCTGATAAAAAGGGCAGAGAAGTGGAGTTAAAGGTAAACGATCTGATAAAAAGGGCAGAGAAGTGGAGTTAAAGGTAAACGATCTGATAAAAAGGGCAGAGAAGTGGAGTTAAAGGTAAACGATCTGATAAAAAGGGCAGAGAAGAGGAGTTAAAGGTAAACGATCTAATAAAAAGGGCAGAGAAGTGGAGTTAAAGGTAAACGATCTGATAAAAAGGGCAGAGAAGTGGAGTTAAAGGTAAACGATCTGATAAAAAGGGCAGAGAAGTGGAGTTAAAGGTAAACGATCTGATAAAAAGAGCAGAGAAGTGGGGTTAAAGGTAAACGATCTGATAAAAAGGGCAGAGAAGTGGAGTTAAAGGTAAACGATCTGATAAAAAGGGCAGAGAAGTGGAGTTGAAGGTAAACGATCTGATAAAGAGGGCAGAGAAGTGGAGTTAAAGGTAAACGATCTGATAAAAAGGGCAGAGAAGTGGAGTTAAAGGTAAACGATCTGATAAAAAGGGCAGAAAAGTGGAGTTAAAGGTAAACGATCTGATAAAAAGGGCAGAGAAGTGGAGTTAAAGGTAAATGATCTGATAAAAAGGGCAGAGAAGTGGAGTTAAAGGTAAACGATCTGATAAAAAGGGCAGAGAAATGGAAGCATATGTACCTGATCTCACAAAATAAGCAGAGGAAAGGAGGACACATGTGCCTGGCCTCATGAAATAAGTAGAGGAAAGGAGGACACACGTACCTGGCCTCATGAAATAAGTAGAGGAAAGGAGGACACACGTACCTGGCCTCATGAAATAAGTAGAGGAAAGGAGGACACACGTACCTGGCCTCATGAAATAAACAGAGGAAAGGAGGACACACGTACCTGGCCTCATGAAATAAGTAGAGGAAAGGAGGACACACGTACCTGGCCTCATGAAATAAGTAGAGGAAAGAGGACACACGTGCCTGGCCTCATGAAATAAGCAGAGGAAAGGAGGACACACGTACCTGGCCTCATGAAATAAGCAGAGGAAAGGAGGACACACGTACCTGGCCTCATTAAATAAGTAGAGGAAAGGAGGACACATGTACCTGGCCTCATGAAATAAGTAGAGGAAAGGAGGACACACGTACCTGGCCTCATGAAATAAGTAGAGGAAAGGAGGACACACGTACCTGGCCTCATGAAATAAGCAGAGGAAAGGAGGACACACGTACCTGGCCTCATGAAATAAGTAGAGGAAAGGAGGACACACGTACCTGGCCTCATGAAATAAGTAGAGGAAAGGAGGACACACGTACCTGGCCTCATGAAATAAGCAGAGGAAAGGAGGACACACGTACCTGGCCTCATGAAATAAGTAGAGGAAAGGAGGACACACGTACCTGGCCTCATGAAATAAGTAGAGGAAAGGAGGACACACGTACCTGGCCTCATGAAATAAGTAGAGGAAAGGAGGACACACGTACCTGGCCTCATGAAATAAGTAGAGGAAAGGAGGACACACGTACCTGGCCTCATGAAATAAGTAGAGAAAAGGAGGACACACGTACCTGGCCTCATGAAATAAGTAGAGGAAAGGAGGACACACGTGCCTGGCCTCATGAAATAAGCAGAGGAAAGGAGGATACACGTACCTGGCCTCATGAAATAAGTAGAGGAAAGGAGGACACACGTACCTGGCCTCATGAAATAAGTAGAGGAAAGGAGGACACACGTACCTGGCCTCATGAAATAAGCAGAGGAAAGGAGGACACACGTACCTGGCCTCATGAAATAAGTAGAGGAAAGGAGGACACACGTACCTGGCCTCATGGCGATGTGTGTGGCTGCATTAAAATGTGCTGGCAATGGGTGTTGATGAGCTGGAGGAGGATGAGACAATGGGGAAGCCAAGGAGACTCCACTTGACTGTTTGTTGCATGCAGTGCCTGTAGAGAGACAATTAAAGGAACGCTGAACAAAGACTGGCATATCTGAGATGCTGACATGTCAGAATGAATGACAGAAACAGTGACATGTCAGGAAGAATGACAGAAACACTGACATGTCAGAGAGAATGACATGACTAATACTGACATGTCAGGGAGTATGACATCAAAGACACTGACACATCCAGGACAATGTAAACAGTAACGGCAAAGACCCCATTTAAACACCACAACAGTGCAGGGTAAGGATGTCAGGCTCACATTTGTAAAGACCAGCTGGTACTGGGTGGGTGATGTGTCAACATCAACCTGGCCGCATTTACTTCCCAGGATATTACCTGGTACCCATTTTAGGTTAGGTCAAGACAGTGACTCACAAACCCTGACATGTAAAAAGACACTGAAATGACAAAGACACCGATATGACAAAGACAAGACACAGTCAGTCACATGTAAAAAACTGACTCAAAAACAGTGAAACAGTCAAGGCTGCATGCAACAAACATGACATATCAAAGACATTGAAATGCCAAAGAACAGACAACACAAAGATACTGATATGCCAAAGAACAGACAATACAAAGATACTGATATGCCAAAGAACAGACAACACAAAGATACTGATATGCCAAAGAACAGACAATACAAAGATACTGATATGCCAAAGAACAGACAACACAAAGATACTGATATGCCAAAGAACAGACAACACAAAGATACTGATATGCCAAAGAACAGACAACACAAAGATAGTGACATGCTAAAGAACAGACAATACAAAGATAGTGACATGCTAAAGAACAGACAATACAAAGATAGTGACATGCTAAAGAACAGACAATACAAAGATACTGATATGCCAAAGAACAGACAATACAAAGATACTGATATGCCAAAGAACAGACAATACAAAGATACTGATATGCCAAAGAACAGACAATACAAAGATACTGATATGCCAAAGAACAGACAATACAAAGATACTGATATGCCAAAGAACAGACAACACAAAGATACTGATATGCCAAAGAACAGACAACACAAAGATACTGATATGCCAAAGAACAGACAACACAAAGATACTGATATGCCAAAGAACAGACAATACAAAGATAGTGACATGCTAAAGACACTGATACAGTGACTCCAATGTAAAAGACGACTCAGAATCAGTGAAATGATAACAACACACAAAAGAAACACTTACATGTCAAAAATATTGTCATGTCAAAGATACTGACATGAAAAAACACACATACTGATATGACAAATACTCTGACATGACAAAGATTTTGAAATGACTGAGATACTGACAAGATAAAGACATTACAAGCAAAAGACACTGACATGAGAAATATGAGACACAAATTACACTGACATGATACAGACATACAATCAAATGACACTGACATGAGAAATATGACACACAAAAGACACTGACAGGATATAGACACACAAAAGACACTGACATGATATAGACATACAATCAAATGACACTGACATGAGAAATATGACACACAAAAGACACTGACAGGATATAGACACACAAAAGACACTGACAGGATATAGACATACAATCAAATGACACTGACATAAGAAATATGACACACAAGACACTGACAGGATATAGACACACAAAAGACACTGACAGGATATAGACATACAATCAAATGACACTGACATAAGAAATATGACACACAAGACACTGACAGGATATAGACACACAAAAGACACTGACAGGATATAGACACACAAAAGACACTGACAGGATACAGACACACAAAAGACACTGACAGGATAAAGACACACAAAAGACACTGACAGGATATAGACACACAAAAGACACTGACAGGATACAGACACACAAAAGACACTGACAGGATACAGACACACACAAGACACTGACAGGATATAGACACACAAAAGACACTGACAGGATATAGACACACAAAAGACACTGTCAGGATATAGACACACAAAAGACACTGACAGGATATAGACACACAAAAGACACTGACAGGATATAGACACACAAAAGACACTGTCAGGATATAGACACACAAAAGACACTGACAGGATATAGACACACAAAAGACACTGACAGGATATAGACACACACAAGACACTGACAGGATACAGACACACACAAGACACTGACAGGATACAGACACACACAAGACACTGACATGAGAAATATGACACACAAAAGACACTGACAGGATATAGACACACAAAAGACACTGACCCTGATGCCTGTGTTTGAGATCCTCTATAGAACTAGTGTCCAGCTCACTGTCCAGGCCACTGTCTGGGCTGGGGGGCAGGGAGGCTGCAACAAACATACACAAACACATAATTCTTCATTCTGTAGGAAATCTATGTGGCTGGCTAATGGATAAATAGGGAACAGAGACCTGGGAAATAGAGAGAATAGGGTAATAAAGGGTTTGGCATTAGGGAACTGTATTACCTCTTTGAAGACTTGTCGCCAGTATACTGGCAAATAAATGTATCCTTATCGGACTAGTCCCAAGTTATCTGGCGTATCATAGAGACACTCTAATTTTATTCTGTTTGTGGGGGAAAAAACTTTTATTACCAAGTTTTTGAAAAATTGGGATTAACAACAGGAAGTCCTTTTGTTTGCAATGTTTTGTGTAGCTTTAGCATCATTTTTCGAATAAAAAAATTTTTTTTTTTAGGTGTGATATAATTTTTACGCGATTTGTCTATACTAAGTGACAAGGGAAAAGGTCTAGAACTGTTCACACTGCTTTGTTGTTGAATCTCTGCCAGATGGTGACAACAGTCTTGATATTATGACTGATATCTAAGTGACAAACCTATTGGAGATAATTTAGTTTAGGATATAAAACTGAACAAAATATTTCAATGGGACCAATGTTTCAATCAGCTGTTTTCCCGATTTTTGGTTGCTGTGAAATCTGGATAGCAGTGTTGCTGAACAAGTAAACAAGTCAGGTAAGCACACAATTTTGTTATGTAAATAATCTTCATATGTGCCTGACATCCTTGAATGTTGTGTGATTTTAATAATATGTTGTTGTAATACTGACTAATAGTTTAGATTTATTCTGAACTCATTTATCTTTAATTTGATATATTATATGTCCCGATACAGCCAATACTTTTCTTCAGGAAGGTTTTAGCTTTGTCATGTTGCAGTAAAAAAAAAAAAACTCAGCTAACAATTAATGCTTTCCAAACCACAGACAAATGTGGTCCTGAAAGAGTGAAATAACTGGCTAAGAGAATTGGGAAACAGAGAACTAGATAACAATGACCGGGTAACTGAGAACAAAATAATACAGTAGTTGGGATTTTTTGGGTCCTCTTTTTAATCAAAATTTGTTATGCTGGGGGGAAAGGAGGGGGGGGGGGCATGTGTGTCTTGCCATATACTCGGGAGGGGGGGGGGGTAGATGGAGACCACTGCCAGAGAGGATACTGTAGTCCTGCCTATCCAGAAAGCCGGCACTACACGAGTCACGAGTCGTCAGAAGGCTATGGATAGACATGACTGTCCAGGCCGCACGACATAGACTGCAGAAAGGAGATCCCCGACACAGCTAAACAATGACTACACGACCATCCCTCAGTCCTAGCTGGCTACGTCAATCTACAACAGCCCCCGGATTTCAACATCAGAAATCTCGAGCACTTACACCAAGGACAGCAGCTACGGAACAAACATGTTTACTATTTCTGGTGTTTTATTGCGACCCTTGACCCAAGATCGTAAATGTGCCTGTCCCCAGCCTGACACTGCATTCCTAATAACCGCCAGATCACGGATACCGGCGCATTCTTGGCTCTCTGGGTGCTAGCACTACTTCCGCAACTGGGGTCAACTTCTTCTGTTATTTCAAGTCCGTGATTTGTCTTCACCTGGCTTGACCTCATTTCTCCTTGGCGAAAACACCAGTATCCTAGAATGTCTTCTTCCTCCTTTCCTTCATTCCATTCTTCTTAGCGTTCACCGGCTGTAACCTCCGGGGGAAAGTTCTGGCTATTCGTCCACTTCAGGACTTTGGTCTGGTTTCAGAGTTTTGCGAGCATATCCCCGTTTTACAGACGTGGCTTACATATATGCAGACTGTTGGCCCCTAGCCTCTCAGACAGATTCGATATGTCTTCGACTTAACCCCCTCTAATCAGTAGCATTTGGTAACATGCGCGCGCGCGCACTTACGTACGTGTGTGTGGGTGGGTGGGGGCGAGGACTGAATGGCAATCTTCTTCTTAGGGTTGTCCGGCTGTAAAGTCCAGCCAGTGAAATCTTCTGGTGGTCCATCCACTTGTAGACTTTAGTCTTGTTGCTGATACTCATTCTTGTCCGTTACCTCGTTACCGTCGGGGGGCCCTCGTATTAATCCCTGGTGGGTGGTTGAACGGCGCTTGCCGGAATTTGTATAAGTAAGATTCTCATCCTTGAGGTGTTAATCCTGCGGAATGCAATCCTGAGAGGACAAACTGTGAACGATTAGGAACGCCGACCTCTCTTGCGGAAGACCCAGGTTCGAATTCTCGGTAGTCATGACATTTTTTTTCCAGTCAGGGGCAAAAAATAAAATCCTTACCGGCACAGTCGGTGTCGACAGCACTAGCCATGAAGCCTCACATCCTCAGACTCAAATACCCCCCCCCCCTCCCCCCCCCAAGTGGTAAACACAAGACAGTAATGGAAAAAGGCTCACTGGGCTGATATTCAGGCTGTTTCTACCCAATGTGCGATTTGAAAAACAAGATCAAGTGTTACAAAACAAAACCGGATACATGGACTTTAGGCGAGTGGGCGGTGATATTTCCGCAACAAATTGTCTGTTTTGATCTTAGTCTACTACCGGATCCAACTAAAATATGTCTACCCCCCCCCCCCCCCCATCAGTATATCAAGTACAGTGGAGTATTCTAGATATTGTAGATGGCATTCCCACACAAGCCTGTTACAGTTAATACTTCAACTGTACAACGTGCGCCGGGACCCGAGGGTTTAAACCTTCTCCCCCTGGGGTAAGGCGGCCCCTTTATCTACATAGAGATAATTTTTCTGTAAATATATATGTGTAAGCACTTCATACCATTTCAGTTACATTATTATATTTATCTGCCATTCAACACAGTAGTATTATGCTTTCAAACTAGGACTACGCCCACTGAGTCCCTCCTACTGCCACCTAGAAAATGTGTCAGGCGGGAGAAAGGGGAGGAAAGGGCTTCTGATGTTTTTTTTTTAGTATTGGTGAGTGGGGCAGGGAAAGAGAAAAGGAGCCAGACAGTAAAAAAAAAGAGGGAGTGGGGGAGTGAGTGGCCCGGGTAGTCTTGAACGTGTGACAGATGTCACAGGTACAGACATACACAGGTACAGACACACAGGTACACACACACAGGTACAGACACACACACAGGTACAGACACACACACAGGTACAGACACACACACACAGGTACAGACACACACACACGTACAGACACACACACACAGGTACACACACACACACACAGGTACAGACACACACAGGTACACACACACACACAGGTACAGACACACACACAGGTAAAGACACACACACACACAGGTACAGACACACACACAGGTACAGACACACACAGGTACACACACATGTACACACACAGGTACTGACACACACAGGTACAGACATACACAGGTACAGACACACACAGGTACACACAACCATGTACAGGCACACACAGGTACACACACATACAGACACACACAGGTACAGACACACAGGTACACACACACAGGTACAGGCACACACAGGTACACATACACACAGGTACAGACACACAGGTACGGACACATACAGGCACAGACACACACACAGGTACAGACACACACAGGTACAGACACACACACACAGGTACAGACACACACACACACATAGGTACAGACACACACACACAGGTACAGACACACACAGGTACAGACTCAAACACTAAGTGGACTCACAGTAATGATCATCTGTACCAGTATAACATAAAACACAAAAGACACCGTACACTAAGGGGACTGAATGAGTTTTAAAAAATAAAACAAAAGACATGAGGTCATTAAGGGGATCACCTATTATGAGAAAATCACAGAAAAAAAAAACACAGAAGACAGTTGACATTAAGGGGAATGGACAAGTAAAATAACAAAAAACAAAAAGAGACACAGGACACTAAGGGCACTTACAGAGATGATGCTGCTGCTGATGTCTGGACATGTGTTTCTCCTGGAGAATGCCCTGAAGGAAGGTCCGAGCCTCAGCGCTGGTGCTGGGCGAGTCCATGCTGAGCAAGGCTTCTGCTGCCATCTCCCGTCCTCGGCCATCATAAGACTGTTCGCATGCGTCCACTGTAAACAAAGAGTTCAACACAAGGTCTGAGGTGGTTCGTCTGATACATCTTTTTGTTTTAGCCCTGTCAATGTTTTAATGTGGCATCACTATATCGATTACTAATAAACTAAACAACATGTAATTACCTGGTACCTGCGCCAAACAGTGAATTAAATTGAATCAAATAATCATTAACAACGAGCCTGGGAGCTAAGTAAACAAATCTAAGCGAATCGTGAGGTGAGGAAAAGACGCTGGTGCTGGACAGGACAAAAGTTGGGAAGATCTGAGAATAATACAAGTAGCATGACTTTGCACTAGAACCCAAAAAGGCATACAAATTAAGACAGACCGAAAGACACATGGAGAAAGGAGATAGAGGGTGACGTTAAAAGGATGGAGAGGACAGAATCGCAAATGACTTGGCGTTAGCTGGTTAGGCGGTACGACGTGCCTGTCGGTTGGGAAACGGACAAACGCCATTCTAGCAGCGTGCATGTTTTTCTGATATCAAGTTAACAGCGCAGTAGGACAGAAACAGCATCTATATCAGGAGAGAATGATTCCGCTGGTAGACAACAGCGCAGCAGGACAGAAACAGCCTCTATATCAGGAGAGAATGATTCCGCTGGCAGTCAACAGCGCAGCAGGACAGAAACAGCATCTATATCAGGAGAGAATGATTCCGCTGGCAGTCAACAGCGCAGCAGGACAGAAACAGCATCTATATCAGGAGAGAATGATTCCGCTGGCAGTCAACAGCGCAGCAGGACAGAAACAGCATCTATATCAGGAGAGAATGATTCCGCTGGCAGTCAACGGAGGACATGGACCATGCTCTCTATCGCATGGGTTAAACAAACAGGCCAACGGTTATTCAGGTTGCAAATGACAATCAAGTTGCAAGATACTTGATGATGACTGATGACGGGGACGGAGCATGCACAGAAATGTCCTGAGTGCAGTGATTTCAATTCTTGACTGATTCATTCATTGGGACAGTGGTATGAGAGTCACACCACAGAAGAGATCGGAACTTCACCGCGTAATGTTCCCGAAGGCATCAGTGGATGTAGATATCTACTGCAGCTAACCTTCAGTGTGAAGATGGCACACAAATTAATAAAAAAGAAGTTATGCAACAGTATACACATCTGCACCCCTTCCCCTCACACCGAACTACTTACAGTATCGCTTTAACAGATCTTTCTTGAAAGTGCCCTTCTGTCTGGCCGCCTGACCACTAGAATACACCCCGCCAGTGTTGGCGTCATTGTCCGAGCCGGGGTCCGTGTTGCCAAGCCCGCTGGACATGCTGGAAGTGTCACACAGGGGTGAGATCTGGCTCGAGGCCAGGCCGGGGTTGTGGAGGTACAGGAGATCCTGGCAGTCAGGCCGGATCAGGAGAGGAGGTGCTGTATCTTGCGTGTACCTGTCAAACAAACCCAACAGTCGTGGGCTACCGTCACTCTTCTCTAACCCCGGCTCTACCTTAATAGACCCATGGAGAGTATCCACTGGTTCCTTTTTCACGTGTGCATGTCCAGCTGGGTGAATTAAAACTCTGTCCCAGCTTACGCATGGCTCTGTGGAAGTCTGGTGCCTCAAGTTGGGTTGGAACGTTGAAAGTAGCTGTTGAGAACACTCTGAAGCTTCCGGTTTAACAAATAAAGGTGGAAGACTGTAGTCAACTCCCACACTGTTCGTGAGTTGTGATACATTCACAAAGGGCTTAATATCATTGCTGCTTGGTGAGCTTCTGTTGGCATTGCTGCCAGGATGTTCCTGAGAATTATATCCGGAATGACTTAATGAACTCAAATCGGAAGGTATCTGTCGGCACTTGAGGTGTGAGCGTTGGTGGCGGTTGCTGGTGCTCTTTCGAGGACTGCATTCACCTGAGGGGGGATGCTGGTGTCTCTTCATGGATAAATCTAACACAGGGCTTGCTAGTGAATCGTTGCAGTGGTAGTTGGCTGTGGGCAATATTGCCCTGCTACATCGTTCTTCAGGACAGCAGGACAACGGTGTGTGCCTTGTTTGTTCATTAATCAGATCCCCGAAAGAGCCGTACATTTGGATGTTGTCTCGTATACTGCCCCCGGATCTCATTTCTTGGTTAATCCTTTCATTGAGGGAGCCACACGCGTGAGCATTGTCTTGGACACTGGCACACGGCGAGGGTATGTACTGCTGGTACGTCCCACTTGGCCTGGTCAGTATTTGAGTTGGCACCAATACTGGCACGCCATGGTGCAGGCGGCTGAATACGGGCACGGCCGGGGTGGGTATCACCGTCATGGGACGGGACAGGGTACTGCACGGAGACACTGTCATGGAAGGCATCCCCAGAAACCGATCTGTGGAGCCAGACCTGCCACCAGTAAAACATCCCAGCCTCATGCTGACGTATCTACGGCTCTGACTTGACCCAGACCTTATTCCAACAAACAGTTTAGCTTCGGCAGAGTCTGAATACATGTGTTTGCTCACAATGTCCTACATCCGTGCAGGATATAAAGAGAACAGTGCCTCTCCTCCGGCACATCCCTGATTAGCGGGTAGTCAGAAATTCTCCTTAAGGAAATACTACAAATTGCAAAAAATAAAAGTAAGCACCGACACAACCACAACCAGTGGTATTGCCCATTACATGTGACAGAGTGAATAAGTCCACATATGGTATATCTTCCAGAATCTAAGAACGGATCATCTATAGCACAGTATTTCAGCGAACCATACCCCAACACATGGCGAACCTTTTAGAATTTACAATAAACGATACATCAAACTATAGTTGCTCGGCTCTCTAGCGTAGCTGGCTAAACCAGATTGCGCGGTGAGCGGGTGACGAACTCCTTGTCGTCCGGTTTCACTCCCGAGGGTAGGCAGAAAAGCCACATTTTCTCCCAGATTTACGGTATTTACAATGGAATCAAGGCCGAAAGGTTGCGATATCCATAATACCGAGCCTAAGGGTTAACAACTCATGGCTTCTGGATACTAAAACAAACAAATGATTTAATTTAAAATATTTACAATCAATAATTTTTTTTTAGACATGCAGCAACCAATATACAGTTAAAGATCGTTAACATGAAGTCCAAGGTTAGGACAAAACAGTTCGTGTTAAACAATTCATGCTAACCGAGATCTTAAATTAACAGATTCCTGCAGGGACCAATATTTTGTTCGTGTTAACCGATTGTTCTTCTTTCGAGAGTTCGTGATAAAGAGATTTTACTGAATAATAAATCGTCCTGAATTTAGATCGGCAGATATTCGGGAATTTAGACGGCCAATAAACTACGGATGTACGGTACATATTTAGACTAGACAGCAGCCGATAACACAACACAGTGAGTGTACTAAAAATACAGTACAGCATCTAAAATTGTGACAAGTTGATAGCGAAACCTACAGAAGATATTCCAACACTGGCAACGGTTGATAAATCACAGTACAGTGAGCCCAGAGCCAACTCGTCCGATAACCCCAAATACAAACAGAAAGCATTAAGCAAGTGTGTCAACTGTCATAAACATTCCCCGGATACAGATTATTTTAGTTGATCAGTTTTGTTCAGTACATTTAACACAGGTGGATACACTTGACTGGCTGCGAATCTTCCAGAACACCCTAGGTCTCCCAGGTAAACCAGATGTATGGACACCCAGATAGGGGATTCTACTTCTTCTACATTCTATCCCAAAATGAAGCATAGGCCCCCAACTAACTCACACCAAGTCGTCCTATCACTTTTATCGCATGCAATTCACCATATTCGGCGGTCCGCGGAACAATTTTAAGCAACCCGTGATATCATTTACTAGATATAAATATATATAAAATTAAGAATGCCATCCTTGCAGCTATTCTTATGTTGATAGATTCGACTACTGTTAAGTCCTTCGATACGACTACTAAAACGTATGGGGTTGTGATAAGTGGTTTACGTTTGTGCAGCTATTCTTATGTTGATAGATTCGACTACTGTTAAGTCCTTCGATACGACTACTAAAACGTATGGGGTTGTGATAAGTGGTTTACGTTTGTGCAGCTATTCTTATGTTGATAGATTCGACTACTGTTATGTCCTTCGATACGACTACTAAAACGTATGGGGTTGTGAAAAGTGGTTTACGTTTGTGCAGCTATTCTTATGTTGATAGATTCGACTACTGTTAAGTCCTTCGATACGACTACTAAAACGTATGGGGTTGTGATAAGTGGTTTACGTTTGTGCAGCTATTCTTATGTTGATAGATTCGACTACTGTTAAGTCCTTCGATACGACTACTAAAACGTATGGGGTTGTGATAAGTGGTTTACGTTTGTGCAGCTATTCAGCAATGTAGAGCACCCCAGCCCCCGTATCTGACCGATGATGATAGTCTGCACCATCATCCTCTTGTGCTGTTATACACCCAACAGGACACACAGTCTACTCCTCCATTCCGTTATATCCTGATCAATAACATAATAGAATCCAGTCCGCGCCTTGAACCTTTCTCAGCAATGTCAGTCCGGAACGACCTCGTTTTCTCAGTCCATTTGTTTTCGCGCTGCAATAAATGTTTGTTAATTTTCCTGCGGATGATATGAATGAAAGAATGATGGCATCAAGAACTGAGATCCCTGCACTAGGGACATGCCCATACGTACTCCGTCTCCTTCCTCATGAGCCAACAAAGAGTCGATACGCTAATAGTACCAGTTGGAACCTGATTAACAGTCCGACTGTGTTTTCCCGTCAGTGCTAAATATCTATCATATCCTCTGCTCACCCCCCCCCCCCCCCGCCCCCTTCCGACGAATTAGCTAGTTAATGTATGGAATCTCCATTCTGTTGCACTGTCCCTTGATCCCAGAGGGGCGTCACCACGTCCGCTTTGTCATAAAGTAGCTCATCACCAACAGCAGCAGCCGATCTGGCAGTCTACTCATTACCCCATACACCCGAATATCCTGGACAGAAAATTCCTGACATTCTCCTGATCTGAGTCTTATCAAGCCA